TGTGCTATCAGTGACGAGTGACCTCGTTGGGGATGTGGAGGTGGTCGACTACGAGTCTGACGCCCTTTTTCCCGGATGGGATGACGAGGAAGGCGAGCCGCGCCAGCGGCGTGAGACAAGCCCTATTCGCGCCTTGCGGACCCCATGTCCGTTTCCTGACCCCTCATCACCTGAAGGACGTGGTGTCATCACCAATGACTTCGATGAGGCACTGAAGCGGCAGCTGGAAGCTGCCCGTAAGGCGGCTCTGATGCGCGCTCATTCGCGGTGAGTCATTGACCCTCATGTGGAATATGGTTCCGCTCGACGGATCCCGATGTGGAAGCGAAGGACGCATTACCTCAACTGATACGCCTCCACATCATTGGGCCCCTGGTCATTACGGAAGATGAGCTTGCCGAACGGAAAGCTCTTCGAGCTCATTTTTTGGTTCCACAAGAATTTCCGTCGGAAGCTTATCGCACTCGTCTACGTGCGCAACGAGGTGGCTCTTGTGTACCCGCAATGCGGACAATACCTGTAGTGCTCGCCCCTGGCGAAAGCGCTACGGATGACAAAGTGCTCTTTGAGCGATGGGTGCAACGGCATCGGAAACTTTCCTCACTGCATAACCTGCAGTTTGAGCCACAACGAAGTAGACGTGCGTGTGAAGCGACAGCTCCGATGAGATTGCCAAACTCAAGGCATCGACTTCCTTCGGACTGTCGCCCTGCGACGTATGGGTGAACCCCTAATGCTCCCGCGAGCTCTGTGTCTGCGACCGCAAGAGCTCAGGGTCACTGCTTGATCTCAGCATATGGCCCTTCTACTTCCCTGACTATTGCCGGGAAACGCGGGGCGTCCTGATCTTTCTGATCAAAAGCCACGGTGTCTGGACAACCTTGCCGAAGGGGCGCTTCAAACTCCCACGAGTTTTCTGTGTCGGGATATCCCCGCCACTTCACGAGATATTGGGTCTGACCCTGGTGACAACGTCGTCCCACTAGACGTTCCACATGATAGTGGACGTCACCGTTCTCATCTAGAAGAGTCGGTGGCGTGCGGTGACGACCTGGTCGACCGCCGTCCAGTGACTCGTGATGCTCTTCGAGCCCTTGAGGACGAGATCCTTCGTGATCGGAGCTCTGCTGAGCGTCATGCTGAAGTAGCATATCGCTATGCGGACGCTCATGAGGACGTCGTCGTGCGCTGGCTGCCTCACCTTGAGGACTACCGTACTCTGTCGGAGCGACTCCTAGCCGTGGAACAGGCAAATGCGTCGCTGCAGGCAACGGTGGAGCGCTTGGCGCCATTGAAATGGAGGTTGATGCACTCTGGGCATAGAACCAGTTGCTGGTTTAGCTTCTGGGTGGCCCAGGGCCCGTGTGATCCACTCCGGCTCGAACGCTTCCGCGTTCACTTGCGCCGGATCCTAGGTGCTGGCAGTCCATGAGTTTGGACTTTGTGTTTGGCCTGCCGAATGATTCGGCGGGCAACACGGGTGTCGTGGCATCCGTCGACCGGTTGGACAAGATGGCTCATTTGGCGGTGGTGCCAGCCACCATCGACGGGGTCGGTACAGCAATGCTGTTCGTGGATCGTTTTCCGTCAAGACGAGTCGATTGTCTCCGATAGAGATCCCCGTTTTACAGGAAAATTTTGGTCGGCTATCTTCAAGGTGCTAGCCTCCAAGTTGGATATTTCGACAGCGGATCATTCCACAGACCGATAGTCAAACCGAAAGGGCGAATCGCGTCATCGAAGACGTTCATCGAAGCGTCTACGCCGAGACGCCAAGGCGCTGGAGCGCCATGTTGCCACTCGAAGAGTTCGCGCTGAACAATGCAGCGCATACGTCTACCGGCTGCACGCCGTTCTATGTGAGCGAGCTGATTCACCCTCGCGTCCCACTGACGCTGCCATTCCATGGCTTGGGGCTTGGTTGGGGAGGAATAGCCGAATGGCTAGCTGGTGTCAGCCCCCTCACTACTCGCAAAGAAAATGACTTCTTGTCTACCAGACTGAGTGTCCCTCGACACGTTCGCGATGCGCTGGCTGAAAGCCAAGATTTGCAGGAAGAATATGCAGATGAACAAGGAAGAGGCAAAGTGGAAAGCTTAATGGTCGGGGACCTGGTTTCATAAAAATATAAAAATCTTCCTACACATGCAGCCTCTGCTATCTTCAGGACGAAGCTTCGTCCACAATTTATCGGACCGTTTGAGATTGTGGCCAAGCGGGGGCCTAGCGTATACGCTGAACCTTCCAAAACATATGTGCACCCAAGCGGTGTTTTACGTGGGCTTGCTCAAGCCGTCGGCAAGCTGGCCAGCGGCGCAGCCGCATTTGGACAGGGTTTCGCCCTTTGACACGTCTCACGCGTGCGCAGATAGGTGCTCGTCTATTTGTACAGCTTTGGCCACCAATAGTGGTGACTCACAGAGTTGAACGTTTTCTCATGACCAAAATGACCACTGAGTGGTGTGTCGTATGCCTCATAGAGGATGCGATATTTTAGATCCTCATCATGACGAACCACAATGTGTGGTGTATCCGTTGAATAGGTGCTATATAATAGCAAGCCGTTCTTCAACGAGTATCGGTGCAATCGTGCACGCAGTCTTGGTGACATTTTTTTCGAGTCTCCAAAATCCAAACTCCTTGCTCCCAGAGCCCGTAACAGCGCTACACACATCTCATCGCCCACATACGCGGTGCGGATCGAATCCGTCACAGACGACGTTGTCCGGTCTACATGACAGCGCGTCAGCCAAAGCATTCTGCTTTCCCGGCTTATACTTCACCTCGAAGTGATGTTCCGCACAGATGGGTGGCCATCTAGCCATCCTCTGCGAGAGGCGGGGCGACTGAGTCGCAGTGCGTAGTGACGCGTGATCTGTATAGATTTTAAACGGCTTGGAGCCGAGCAGGTGGACCCTGAACTTGACAAGTGCATACTTCATCGCAAGTAGCTCCTTGTCATGAACTGGAATGTTTTTCTCTGCAGCTTTGAGCTGTTGAGATTCGAACGCGATCACCCGATCTCGCCCCTGATTTTGCTCAACGTAAACACATAACATGCTTTGGTTTCATTACTGTATTTGATAAACCATAATTCGAATTTACTGTTGAGGCTAAACAAAAATACCGTCGTCCCTATCAAACGTTTTGGGATAGGATATTAAAAAATTGGTACCCTCGAGAATTTAATAGGTTGACGACCATCGTCTTTCGATATTAAAAAATCTGTGTACTACCAGGATTCTTCATCGGTCCATAATAGATGTACACTACACCTTTCGAATTGCTAAGAAATAGTGGCAGTACTTTATCGCGCTAATACGTCAAATATTCAAATTGTCAACGTAAACAATGTGCTGTAGAATCTTGCAATCTTATGACATTGTGAAAAGAAGGATATTACAAAAAGAAAACAACAAAATCAAAAGCTCCTAATTTTCTCAATAGCAATTCACTTCAAATTCATTGCTAATAAATCAAAAAGGTCAACACTGATTTGGCTTAGGAAGATAGATAGCAAACAAGGCGGATTTCACAAAAAGTTGAGAGACCTGCATACACCACGTGACGAATATACGTTTTGTGCACAATCCAATTTAATGTGACCAGCAACTTGTACTTGGTCGTATTCAAATTCTTTTCGCTAATAATTACAAAATTACTGCAAGCATTATAAATGCTTTACGACTGCTTTGCAATTTGACCTCTGGAAAGCAGCAATTTGTGTAACGGGGTTACGCATACCCTGGCAACAAGGGTTTGTGTCGCACCAGATGGGCATGGTGTGACCACACCCAAACAAGAATACGGTATGGGGCTGGATAGCCAGTTGTTATACATGTATTGGATTTAACAATACATATTTTGGAAAACCTATGCATTTAAAATTTGACGGCTTTGCCGCAGATAAAAATGAATAAAGTCAGTTTTGAATTTAAACCGAAGTGTTAATTAGCCTTGGATTACAGCTATAATCACACTTGGAGTAAGCGGTTTGCGATCCGCTCAACTCGAACTTGTTCTGATTATAAAACGAAAGGTCGGTGACCTAACTTACGCTACCTCAAAGCGCAAAGCTACGGCAGCCCCGCTGCACTTGGTAGCACTTGTAGTCAAATTACACCTGAGTCGTTTAGACTGATCCTCTGTGAGGATGGAGGAATTTTTCTCTTTGCCCCAGGGCATGCAGGACG